AGCAGCACTGGTTATGGTGAGCCCATCGTACTCACCTTACACAGGAGATGTACACCAGGGGACAGGATGTTGTTGTTGTTGTTGTTGTTGTTTTAGATTCAGCTACACGGAACAAAAAGTTCCAAGTGCCTAAATTCTGTATTCTCTTGAGCGCAGGCGGGAGAGATACATAATAATTTACATGTGGAAAATATTAGAGGGCCTGGTCCCAAACCTGCACACAGAAATAACACCACATGAGACCAGAAGGCATGGCAGGATGTGCAGAAGATTAACTCAATCAACATCAGAGGTCCGAGACTGTTCAACACGCTTCCACTACACATAAGAGGCATAACTGGCCGATCCCTCGCAGTGTTCAAGAGAGAACTTGATAAACACTTTTAAAGGATACCCGATCACCCAGGCTGTGATTTATGTCAGGCTGCGAACAGCTGCGTCCAACAGCCTGGTTGACCTGTCCAGCAACGAGGAGGCCTGGTCGAGGACCGGGGCGCGGGGACGTTGATCGCCCAAAATCATCGCAAGGTACGGTAGCACAAGCTATGGTGAGCCCATAAGTGGAAGCTCTTTGGAGCCATGATCAGTATCAATAGCTGATACTAACTGATACTGGAGATGTGGGATGGGGTCCGTGGACGCACCAATCCATCAAGACCATACAGCTGGTCAAACCGGTGAATTGATGGGGTTCACACGTCGTTCACAGCTGAGTGCCACAGGAGTCAGCTGGGCTGTCGACGGGCTGGCCACAGTCAGCCGGTCTAGAGGGAGATGTCCGGGTGTTACAAGAAGATTGGTTTCCTTATCCCAGTTCCCAGATGTTGGTAGTCTGGTCGCATTTCCTTCTTCAAGGTGTCGTAGTCACAGTGGTGGTCCAGGCGCTCTTGAGGGACGACCATGCTAAGGATCCGTCCTGCTTCCCCGCTCTTGTATTCCCAGTAGTCGTTGTGGATTATGGAGTTATGCTGTCTGTCCTCCTTGGAAAGTGTGCGGCCACGTCAGATGTACTCGGTGGAGGCAGCATGGGAGCCTGTCAGTCTGGTTGGTGCCGGAGCGGGATCTGGAGGGGGAGATGGTGCCCGTGCGGCTGCATGAGGGGCAGGAGAGCCGGTGACATCGACTGAGGCATCGGAGTCGGTCGAGTCTTTGGACTCGACTTCATCGTCCTGGTCAGCTTTCCTGGGTGCTTCTGCCGTCCCTGTCAGTGGGACAAGCTAGAGAACTGCGGAATCACTGTGGCCGGATGGTGAGAGCTCCCTTGGGGGTCGTTGGCTCAGGGATCCCCGGGGCGAAGGGTCCAATAGCAGTTGTGGAAGCTGGAAGGTCATCGGGTACATCAGTTGTCGGAAGTTCATTCGCGACGAGCAGCCTGTTGTTGACTTGGTAATGTCGTTGCCCGCCATTTTTGTCGGCGAGGTGAAGGTGGTCGGGTAAAAGTGTAATCTTGGTGGAGGCTGCAGGCTGGGCCGGAGGTGGTGAGGTCGGCCGGGTGCGGCATCCCCAGGGGCCGGGCGGTGGTGAGGGAGTCACATGTGTGTGTGTTCCCAGGTAAGACCGGGAATTCCGGCAGGAGTGGGTTTGCTGGGTGATGTATGGTGGTGGAGGAAGCGGTAGTTGTCATCTTTTGGATTTCCTTCTACCGGAGGAGACAGTCAGGTGAGACGCTAGAGTGTGGGCCATTACAGAGCAAGCAGGGTCGGTGGAAGGATGTGCAGTGAGTGTAGTGGTGATCCTGGGCGCAGAGACTGCATCTCTGTACTTGTTCGGTGCACTTCCTGGTGTAGTGGGAGTACTGGTAGCACTTGAAGCATTGCCGGAGCTCCGTGAAGCGTTCCTGGGTCACTTGGGTGAGTGGTATGGTGATTCCTGCTCACTTAAGTCCATAGTCCGTGGCGTGGGTCGTTGCGATGGCCGTGGTGAAGGTCACCTTCAGTGTTGGTCTGCAGTTGACTTCGGCGTTGGAGATGGTCTTGAGAGAGTGAGAAAGAGAGAAAGAGATACTATACAACAAGGCTCGTACCAAAACTGCTATAACTAAACAATATAGAAACGCTGAGGGTGCTGAACGTCAACACAACGGAACCGAGGAGCCAGGGTAACGATATACGGGATACTTGTGTTGAAGAATATGTTAGGCTGGCAGAAGGGTATGTGGCTGGATATACGAGGCGCACATTAGCACAAGTATATTGGAAAGTGCTGTTTAAGGTAAGATTAGAGAGTAAATGGAATGGACTAGAGAGAAAGAGGTAGTTGAGAGTAATAAAATAAATAGTCTCAAAAGTAGATAAGACAAAACATAAGAAGATCGGATATCATTGCAGTAGAAAACTAACGGGTGGTAAGGTGGGACTTAGAAGCTAGTGCTCAACCCTGCAATCACATACACCTTGCTTTCTCTTTGTTTAAGGCCTAAAAGAAGCAAAATTGTTATCAAAATAGGCACGCAATATTTTGGACTTCTCTCCATTAGTGCTTATTTGTTTGTTTGGACTTTATATTTATTTAATTAAGTTTGAGTGTTAATGTAGCAAAATCTTAACCACTTTTCAATGTTTTGTCAGATAAAAAACATTTTCGTATGAAAGTATATCTTATTAAGAAAATAATGAAAATCTAATAGTAGCAAAAATTTGTTGCTTCACTTATGTTTCAAAGTGTAAGTGTAGCCTTGTTGTGTACAGTTGCCGGTGAGTGTGTTCGTATGGGCTGGACACACTGATCACATCTAAATGTTACTGACTTTTGCAACACAACTCAAACGCCATTGTTTCACTGATAAAAAGGCTGGTGGAATTCAGTCTGGCGGAACTGATGATTAGGAAGCTCAGTGACGATAAGTTAGGAATTCAACACAGAATTCAAGAGAAAGTAGACATTGGAGTGGGTCGGGGGAAATACAGTCACACTCCACACAACACATAACTGCTGTCTTGTGTGAGCAGATGTTTAGAGGCAAGAATTTCCTCTCTCCACTAAGAACCCAAATGTCAGAGATATTCATTTATGATTAAAAGATCACATTTGACGTCTCAACTTCTTCACTTAATTAAGGTTTATGTTTTAGATATGATCTATAATTATAAGCCGAATTAAAAGTTAAAAAAAATAATTTGTTGAACAAAAAAAGAGAGAAAATCTGTTAATGTAAAAAAAAATATTGATAGATAAAATCTGTAAGTTAGACAGTTTAATCAACAATTGTTCACATCAACAACATGTGAGGGTCCCTGAGCTGGCAAATGTTTACATAACACAACGCAAAATTTGTCCCTACAACCAAACACGAGAAGCGGATGATATACAAAGATATATATATTATGCAACTGACAATCACAAATCACTGATCATTGGTATGCAGAAAAAACAGAGAAATGGGAAATCGGAATGTTGACATTCCCCATTCCCATTTCTCTGGGGGTTTTCCGCACAAACACACACATATATATTACACACACACACACACACACACACACACACACACACACACTAACACACACACACACTAACACACACACACACACACTAACACACACACACACACACACACACGCACACACTAACACACACACACACACACACACACACACACACACACACACACACACACACACACACACACACACACACACACACACACACACACGACATATTTGCATAAACCCACAATTTATATGTAATCAAAAAAACTCTTCTCCTGTGAAGGATTCGAACCTTAGAAAGCCAGGTGCATCACACTCACTAACATAACCAGTATGGTAACCGCTGCACCAAGACAGATTGTTAAAAGAACTGAAAAGTCGAGAGGTTTATCCACAACAATTCAACCCTCAAAACACCTGTCAAGGCACGAGATCACCTGTTCGTTTTCATCAAATCAGTCACATTATTGGAGAAAACGCGAGCCTGAAATATACGACACACTTGCATAAACGCACAAGTTATATGTAACCAAAGAACTCTTCTCCTATGAAGGACTCGAACCTTAGAAAGCCAGGTGCATCACGCTCACACACCAACATAACCAGTATGTTAGTGTGAGTGATGCACCTGGCTTTCTAAGGTTCGAGTCCTTCACAGGAGAAGAGTTCTTTGGTTATATTATATATATATATGTCGTACCTAGTAGCCAGAACGCACTTCTCAGCCTACTATGCAAGGCCCGATTTGCCTAATAAGCCAAGTTTTCATGAATTAATTGTTTTTCGACTACCTAACCTACCTAACCTAACTTTTTCGGCTACCTGACCTAACCTAACCTATAAAGATAGGTTAGGTTTGGTTAGGTTAGGTAGGGTTGGTTAGGTTCGGTCATATATCTACGTCAATTTTAACTCCAATAAAAAAAAATTGACCTCATACATAATGAAATGGGTAGCTTTATCATTTCATAAGCAAAAAATTAGAGAAAATATATTAATGAAAACTTGGCTTATTAGGCAAACTGGGCCTTGCATAATAGGCTGAGAAGTGCGTTCTGGCTACTAGGTACGATATATATATATATATATATATATATATATATATATATATATATATATATATATATATATATATATATATATAATTCAGAGTGCAGTAATGACTCACAGTATCTAACGTGTTACCAGATCTAATTTCTAATCTGGTAGGTTGCCAGCAGTGATAGTGAATGAACAGTAGTGATAGTGAATGACCAGTGATAGTGAGTGACCAGTAGTGATAGTGACCAGTAGAGATAGTGAGTGACCAGCAGTGATAGTATTAGTGATAGTGATTCTGCACTAGTGATACTGAGTGACCGGTAGTAATAGTGACCAGAATTGATAATGAGTGATCAGTAGTGATAATGAGTGACCAGCAGTGACAGTGAGTGCCGGCAGCGATACTGAGCGCCGGGTGTGATAGTGAGCGTTGCTCTCCTGAACCCCTTGTTGTAACACTGTGTACCTAAACCGAGCCTAAACTGAACTAAACCTCACCATAATTAACCATAACTGTTACCCCCCTTCTTTTAGCGTCGAACCGAACCAGAAGCGACGAGTAAAGAGAAGCTGTCGGAGGAAGCCCGGGGCGGCGGCGGCGGCGAGGCGGCCCCGTCGGAGCCGCCGCCATGGATGGCCGGTGTGGTGGTGGGTGGCGGGGCGGTGGAGGGCGGCGGAGGGCGGCGGCGGGCGGCGCTCCAGCCCCCCTCCCCGTCGCCCGCCCCAGATTGTCTTTTGTCACTTATTGCTCCGTACAAAATAATTATATATACTATATATAATATATATATATATATATATATATATATATATATATATATATATTATTATAGTATAATATATATTATACTATAATATATATATATATATATATATATATATATATATATATATATATATATATATATATATATATATATATATATATATATATATATATATATATATATATATATGATTTAGAGCTTGTGATATGTAAACGTAAAATTAATTCTAAATAATAACTCCAGTAACATTACATAAGAACATTTTGATCACACAGCTTTGTTACGAGTTCTCGCATGATTTGTTCGCTAGTTTGTTTTAAGAGTTTGATGTGTTAGCATGCGCTGTTTGTCGTGCTGGGTGTGTGTGTGTGTTTGTTTGTGTTCGTTTGTGTGTCAGTCAGCCAGCCACCACACAGTGTGTACACACCCCTACATAATCCTTGTGCTTACGTAACACCGATGGCCTTAGGTGTAGGTTTAATGGAAGGGGTTCACAGCTTGTTACACACACACACACACAAGCCGTCGTTGCTTGTAATTTATTATGATCATCCTCAAGGGCCTTGTCTGGCGGGTCCGGCCCATGAAACCTCCTTCACCAACAGTTTAATGAATCATGTACCGTTGGTAAGCTTGCAGACCGCCAGTTACAGAGCATTTCACCACTGTTACAAACCGTTATGTACCGTTGACAAGCTCGCAGACTGCCCGGTACACAACACTCCTCCACTGTAACATAGCCGCGCGTGCGAGGACCTGCCTCACGGGTCACGGGAGCTGTGCTGGACCACAGTGGTTTGTTATTGTTGTCGAGACAGACTACAGGGTCATCTACGACTACGGAGTGCTGAGGAAACCTGCTTTGTGTGTGTACTTACCTAGTTGTGCTTGCGGGGGTTGAGCTCTGACTCTTTGGTCCCGCCTTTCAACTGTTATTCAACTAATGGACAGGTTCCTGAGCCTACTGGGCTCTATCATATCTACACTTGAAGCTGTGTATGGAGTCAGCCTCCACCACATCACTTCTTAATGCATTCCATCTGTTAACTACTCTGACACTGAATTTTTTTAACTTCTCTAACGTCGCTCATTTGGGCGCTCAATTTCCACCTGTGTCCCCTAGTGCGTGTGCTCTTGGTGTTAAATAGTCTGCCATCATCTACCCTATATTATAATGTGGGTTGGTGGTGTTGTCGTCGTTGATCCTTCTTTCTGGACAACCCAACCCACAACTCGGTAGAGTGCTTATACTTTACCAGGAGATCACACTGGGCACTTCTGGCTCTTGGAGAGGGGTTCAACGTCACACGTTTAGGGGATGCGGCTCCAATACTTAGCCTCATTGTCACGTGCACACACCCACTCGAGCCGCTGTGACTCCCCACTCTCTCCTTATGTGAGATGATCTCCTCAATCCCCTTTGACTTATTAGTTTTCTGTTCTACCCTGTCGACAGCAGTGGTTCTTGGTTTTTTCTCTCCCTCTCTCTCTCTCTCCCCTTCTTTACTACTTCCTGGGAAGCCTCACTAGGACAAGGTCAAACACCAGCAAATTTGAATACATTTACTGGACAGAGCACATACACAATACATACACACATAATAATAATGAATCCTATACTCTATACTATTTCAGTCAGGTTGCACTCCAACGCCATCAGAACTCTATCATCAGCGTATCAAGTGGTGTTCTATCTCCTGATTCACCACCTAATATTACCAACCTCCTCAAGTAGGTCAAGTACTATAATACAATGTTGTACTATCAGCAAGAGAATATATATATCTATAAATATGTACATGAAAAATCAGCGTATGAGTGCAATAACATATATATATCAGTATAAATGTTCCTTGATACACGGCAAAGATCAATCGATCACCCTATCAGTCCTAGAACATATACATCTGTAGGTAATCCAGCCTACGTCTGTAACTCTATACTTCAGTGTAAACTCCTTGGTACAAAAATGGCAAACTATCACTCGCCTTTCACTGCGTCTTGCACGCTAATGACAACCAAACACTATCACCTCCCTACAAGTATTCATTTAGAACTTCCCTTCCACATCTGGAAGTTCACTACCCTGATCTCTTCAGGTTCTTCCGGGTTTAACTACCAGGATCCTCTGCAGCTCCTCCAGGCTGCTACCATGAAGTTTCCTTGAGCAACTGCGGTGCTTCACTCTTCTGTTAGGGTCCTCCACAGCTCTCCTGGCTGCTACACCATGAAGTTCCCTCGAGCAACTATGGTGCTTCACCACCTCTACAGAAGCACGCGACACTCCTCTTCACTGTTTTTCCTCACAGCTCGAGGTCCTCTCATCCACTACCTTGGAGTCTCATCAACTATTCCCTCTGTGCTGGCTTCGAAGTTCTCAGCAACTTCTTCCCCAAAGACAAACCTAGAACCAATTGAGACTCCAATAAAAATGTTTCACCTTAAACACAAACAAAAATAACCACACAATATGTTTGTCTCCAACATCTATCTGCTCTCTACATGCAGTGAGAATGGACTCCCCTGTTGGGCTGGTCCATGCTCTGCCTTGCCCAGCGGGCGGCTCCTCAACTCTGGGAGGGTCCTCCATCAGTCAGTTAGCTTCAGGCGGTCGACGGGAGAGGATGTGCTGCTTGTCCCTCCAGCTGTCTCTCTTATCTTCGTCCTCTCATTTAGGCTTCCTGCCTTACCAAAACATTTCTAACTTATCAATAAACATTCGCTACTGTCGCTGGGCACACGACCAACTACAAGTAATCACTATAAACTGGCTTATATCGGGCTTACCACAGATTGTCTAGTCGAGGGCGCTACCCCTCTGACGGCGTCTGGTCAGGGCACTGCCACGGCCCACGATAATGTCTTTGGGCGGCTTAATAAACACTCCTCGCCGTCCAGGACTTGAGACCACAACGTTCCCAGGTCAATTCCACAGCTGGAACGTCTGCACACTTCTCTTCTCTTGGAGATATATCACTTGGGGTTCCTTTCTGACGGGAGCTCAAACGGAGCGCGTCTCTCCCCCCTGCGATGTCTGGCCTCAAGTGAGGGTCAAAGCCCTCCAGAAGCGAGCCACATGCCTCCAGCAAATTATCCACATCTCCTAACCAGTCATTTATCTATTTTCTTATTCACTGCCCATAATCTCAATTTGTTCATCAAATCCGACCAGCTATTTTACATCGGTGTCTTCACCTCCATATTTCCCAGACCTTATAGTCAGGTTAGGCTTGATAGAATAATTCTCAAAGGGGAGACTCGTTTTTCGGGTGCTTGGGATCAAAGCACCTATCAATTCCTCTGAGAATCTTGTATGTGGTGATTATGTCCCCCTAACTCTTCTGTCTCCCAGTGACGTGAGGTTTAATTCCCGTAGTCTCTCCTCGTAGCTCATACCCCTCAGTTCGGGTACTAGTCTGGAGGCAAACCTATGAACCTTTTCCAGCTTAGTCTTATGCTTGACTAAATATTGACTCCATGCTGGAGCCGCATACTCCAGGATTGATCTTACATATGTGGTATACAAAGTTCTGAATGATTCCTTACACAAGTTTCAGTTTCTAAAGGCCGTTCTTATGTTGGCCAACCTGGCATATGCCGCTGATGTTGTCCTCTTGATATGAGCTTCAGGGGACAGGTCTGGCGTGATATCAACCCCCAGGTCTCTCTCTCTCTTCGACTCTCAGTTCTCAGCAACTTCTTCCCCAAAGACAAACCTGCAACCCATTGACACTCCAATAAAAATGTTTCCCCTTAAACATACACAAACAAAAATAACCACACAATATGTTTGCCTCCAACATCTATCTGCTCTCTACATGCAGTGAGAATGGACTCCCCTGTTGGGCTGGTCCATGCTCCACCTTGCCCATCATCAGAAACAGGATAGGTCCGAGTACAGAGCCTTGTGGGGCACCACTGGTGACTTCACGCCAATCTGAGGTCTCACCTCTCACTGTAACTTTCTGCTTCCTATTGCTTAGGTACTCCCTTATCCAGTGGAGCACCGTACCAGTTACTCCTGCCTGTTTCTCCAACTTATGCATCAGCCTTTTATGGGGTACTGTGTCAAAGGCTTTCCGACAGTCCAAGAAAATGCAGTCTGCCCATCCGTCTCTTTCTTGCTTAATTTTTGTCACCTGATCGTAGACTTCTATTAAGTTTGTAAGGCAAGATTTACCCTCCCTGAACCCATGTTGATGGGTTGCCACGAAGTCTCTTCTCTCCAGATGTGTTACTAGTTTTTTTTCCTCACGATCTTCTCCATCACCTTGCATGGAATAGAAGTTAAGGACACTGGCCTGTAGTTCAGTGCCTCTTGTCTGTCACCCTTTTTGTATATTGGGATTACATTAGCCGTCCTCCATATTTCTGGCAGGTCTCCTGTTTCCAGTGACCTACTATACACTATGGAGAGTGGCAAGCAAAGTGCTCCTGCACACTCTTTCAATACCCATGGTGAAATTCCGTCGGGCCAACAGCCTTTCTAACGTCCAGATCCAACAGGTGCCTCTTTACCTCATCTCTTGTAATTTCGAACCCTTCAAAGGCCGCCTGGTTTGCTGCCACCTCTCCTAGCGCAGTGACCTCTCCTTGTTCTATTGTGAAGACCTCCTGGAACCTCATGTTGAATTCTTCACACACCTCTGTCATTCTCTGTGTACCTGTCCTTACCCGATCTAAGTTTCATCACCTGTTCCTTCACTGTTGTTTTCCTCCTGATGTGACTGTGTAATAGCTTTGGTTCGGTCTTGGCTTTATTAGCTATATCATTTTCATACTTTTTCTCAGCTTCTCTTTTCACACTAACATACTCGTTCCTCTTTCTCTGGTTCCTCTCTCTTCTGTCTGATGTTCTGTTATTTCGGAAATTCTTCCACGCCCTTTTGTCCAGTTCCTTTGCTTTCATACATGCCCTATTATACCATGGATTCTTCTTTTGCTTCTCTGTTTTTTCCTGTCTGGCCTGGATAAACCTGTTTACT